AAATGGCAACATTTATCCCCTGCCGCTTTTCTCACTAGTCAGCCTTATTTTAAACTAAGTTTCCAAATTTAGAATGTTCTCTTTCCAACAAGAAAAAAAGATTTAAAACTCACACCAAACGACATGCTTATATCCACTCTCTCTCTGGGCTTTTGCAGTTGTAGTCAGCATCGGCTGATCCGGAAATCACTGGATTAGGAGGGCTTTCCTTAGGTTCCCAGAGATTTTGCGAACATCTCTGGGACCACTGGAGTTCCCCCCACCTCACTGTCTCTTCGGGACAGCTTAGATTCGAAACGAATCGTCCAAAATAACCTGGTATAGATGGTCTCTTAGGAACTGCCTGAAAGTCCGTCTTCTCACTGCTAAGCCCCGCCTTCTTCCGTAAAAATACCTTTCATCTCAGCAGTGGCTCCCATAATGCATGGGGTGAGTCATGCAAGAAAAAATGAATGCGACTGGAGCAGAAAATACTGTATGAGATGGTGTCAGGAATTACCAGTAGTCCTCAGCTTATAGCCATTCATTTAGTAACTGTTCAAAGTTATGACAGTACTGAAAAAAGTGACTTACAATTGGTCCTCTCACTTGTGATTGTTAGCATAAGCACTTAAACTTATATACTGCTTCTCAGTGTTTTAGAGTCCTCTCTGAGCGGTTTACAATATTTCGCATCTTGCCCTCAACAATTTGGGTCCTCAATTTTACCGACCTCAGAAGGATGGAAGAGCTGAGACAACCTTGAGCCGGTCATGATCAAACTGCTGGCAGTCAGCAGAGTTAGTCTGCAATGCTGCATTCTAACTACTGTGCCAGCAAAGGCTCCTGGCTGTTGCAGTTTTTGTGATCACATGATCAAAATTTGGAGCCTTGGCAACAACCATTGTGGATTTACGATAGTTGCAGCATCCTACAGTCACTTGATCATTGTTTGCAACCTTCCTAGCTAGCTTCCAACAAGCAGAGTCAGTGAGAGAAACCTGGTTTGCATAACGGCCATATGCTTCACTTAAGAACCATGTGTATACACTTGACAACCATGGCAAAAGTTCATAATATTGGGTGTGGCTTACTTAACAACTGTCTGACTTAGCAATGGAAGTTCTTGTCCCAACTGGTTGTAAGTCAAGGACTATCTGTATTACAATGACATATATGAGGTGTGGGTTTTTCCTGAACTAGATTAATGTGTGTCTTTTCAGATAGTAATGAGAAAGGCCAAATGAAGGCTGCCCTTGTCCTTGAGAACTTTTTCTTAGAAAAAAAACCATTCAACTTTTTAGCCTTCAGGTCAGTCCCAAGATGTTGTTCTACCATGTATTTGGGGCTTTGGACTACCTACATAATTATAGGGTAGATTATTGCTTTAGCTTATTTTAAAGTACCTTGAGTTTTAGTGGAGGGGACTGCCTGTAAATCCTGGTGTAAATGTAATAAATGTGTATTCAGAAAGGGTTAGTTCACAGGGAATCCAATCAAATGAAATCAAAACTTTACTGTGGTCATTTGATCAGAAATCTGATGTGATAAATAAAGCTAATAGAAGGCATCACATTTTTTGTGTGTAAGCAAGACCACCTCTGAAGATAACCATTCCAGTCATCGACTGATTTTCTCAGAATATATCTGTGTTACTAAGCAGCAAAATTTTGCCATCAAATAGGTAATATTAAGATTTTGGTCAGCTGTAAGATAGCTTATAGAAGGTGATTTTGAAATGGTTGAAGCAGTCACAATCCTGAAATTGGAAGAGAAAATATAATTTAGAAAAAAATATGCTCCCTGAAATCAATCATATTTGATCCACATTGCTATGATCCTGAATGTTCTTTTTTTAGGAAACTTTTTTGTAGAATGGTCTGTTGTATAGATTAAGCATTAAGCAATCCCTGGAAAAGAATTCATCAATTTTTCAAATAAAGCTCTGTGCTCAATGATCAGAACAGGTGAAGAAGATCTTTGGAAATATTCAAGATGGAGAAATGGCAGCTGATAGCGAACTTACATATCTCTTCATAGACCCCTTTGGAAGTTCCTGAACTCATTCTCAAGAAATGTGGTTTCCCCCCTCTCCTGCCCATAGGTTAACATAATTAGCAATAAATTAGTATGCTGGCATTGTCTTTCAATGACTTTGTTGTGTGGGAAGTTATCATCCAGCCCTCTCGCAGAAAAATGAAATATCCTAGGAAATATTGAAAAGGCAGAATATTTCTCTGGATATGAAAAGAAAGAAACATGTTTTAAAAGACAGAATAGTTGCCCATAGCTTCCTCCCCATCCCCACTGTTAATGGGCCATTAAGAAGGCCAAGCTAGTCCACTTACATAATAAAGGCTTCTTCACTGCAGCTGCAGTGATGGGATTAAAAGCATGATAATATTGGCCCTTTACTCAACTGACCACATGGCATCTGAGAACTCAACCAAACCTGGATTCAAAACACACCCAGAGATATGCCCCTGCATGGTCCCATGGGAGTCTGACAACCAATCAGAATACATTTCTTACACAGGAACAGGAAACAGAGAGGTGAGACTGAACAGGTTATAAAAAGCCTAGCAAGCCCCTCCCTCAGCCCTTCACTTCTTCTCCACCAACAGCCAAGGTGGCGCAGTGGTTAAATGCAGCACTGCAGGCTACTTCAGCTGACTGCAGTTCTGCAGTTCAGCTGTTCAAATCTCACCGGCTCAGGGTTGACTCAGCCTTCCATCCTTCCAAGGTGGGTAAAATGAGGACCCGGATTGTTGGGGGCAATATGCTGACTCTGTAAACTGCTTAGAGAGGGCTGAAAGCCCTATGAAGTGGTATATAAGTCTAACTGCTATTGCTATTGAAGCATGTGATCACCTTTTCTGTTCAGGGCTCAAGCCGTGTGGCGCTGTCCACCAATAAACCATCTTTCCAAGCAGCCTCCATGTCTCCAGTGTCTTCTTCCCCACTTGGAGCCGAACCCAGAAGGACATTTCTTTCAATAGTTGATTGGACACAGTATCAACCAAAGTCTTTCAAAAGTCCAAAAGGATGTGATCATATCCACTAAATTGGGGATGGTCAGGCTTAGCAACTTTAAGACCTGTGGACTTTAATTCCCAGGATTCTCCAGATAGCATGACTGGCTACGGAATTCTGAGAGTTGAAAAGTCTTAAAATTTCAATGCTTGGACACCTCTGCCACAAAGAAAAGAGAACTATTCTTGTGGTTTTGTCGGCGTGGTTTTGTCGGCGCACATTTGTCAGGCGCACATTTGTTGGTGAACCCAAACCCGTGACCCGACAAATGTGTGCCCAACAAATGTGCGCCGACGAAACCGCACCCACAAAAAGCGTGCCATCCACAAACAACATAGTGGGACGTGAAAACAATGTTTTAGGGTTAGGGTTAGGGTTAGGAACGTTGTTTTCGCGTTCCACTATGTTTTTTGTGGATGGCACGCTTTTTGTGGGCATGGTTTCGTCAGCGCGGTTTTGTCGGCACACATTTGTCAGGCGCACATTTGTCGGTGAACCCTCCAAACCATCTGAAGGCAAAACAAGAAACAATAGAAGGAAGGTTCAAGGAGAGAACCAGCCTAGAAATAAGCAGAAACTTCCTGGCAATGAGAACACTTGCCTACAGAAGTCGAGGGTACTCCATCAATGGATGTTTTTAAGAATAGACAAGACAGTCATTTATCTGAAATGGTAAAGGTTCTCCTGCTTGAGCAAGACCGCTAAAGTCCCTTCCAATTCTGCTATTCTGTTAAAATGTCACCTCAAAATGTCTTAGTCAATCAGACACTCCTAATATTATGATCCCTTGACCCAGATTTTTTTTGGGGAGAAGCAATTCAGTCCAACAACCCATGAAATTTCCTTATGTCTGTTACTGATTTAATTCTTAAAAAAATATGTATACTGTATACTTATAATGTACTGTATATTGGTCTGAAAAGCCTTGAAATTTTACTTCGAAAGGAGTAATGGGTCCCAGATTTCAGTTAGCTGCCATATATGCTCCAAACAATGGGAAGATCAAGTGCTAATGCCTTCAGGTACCTTGAGATACCTTGATTCAGAAATTGTTGTGCTATGATTTGGGCTAATTGAAGGTTGGGGAAGATTGGGCTAATTGAAGATTAACATTAAAGTTGGCACTGCTAATGGCAGATTTGGTGAAATGCTCTCTATTATATGTACACTGTGAGCTTATGAACTGGAGACAAATTATCTGTGTATCAGATCACCCTTGGCCAATAAAGAATTCTATTCTATTCTATTCCGTTCCATTTCATTCCATTCTATTTTTTTCTATTCTAAACAGACAGAAAAGAGAGCTTTAGTAATTTACAGTGGATATAAAAAGTCTACACATTCCTGTGAAAATGTCAGGTTTTTTAGATGTAAAAAATTCAGACCAAGGTAAATCACTTCAGTATTATTTTTACCTTTAATATATCATATAAGCTATGCAATTCAATGGAAAAACTAAACTGAAAACACTTAGGGGGGAAATAACAATAAAAATGTACAATAATGTAGACTTTTATATCTACTGTATATATGTTGATGACCATTGTGCCTACTGATAGCTGATTAGTCAGAATGCCAAGCTTCCAGTAATTCTCTAATACTTTTAGATTTTGCTTGATCTAAAATGTCAATAATTTCCCAGTAGAAATAGTGATTGGATTTGTCTATGTATTGAGAGACTAAGGAATTGGCATCACATTTTTGACTGCCAGTTGATTCTTGTGGGTGTGTTCTGTCAATCTTTGACCTCTCTGCCATACTGTACCTAGTGGCTTACTTTGTATGCTGTAAATGGCTCATATGTTGACTCTTTCGATTATTTGGTTTTTAGGTTTGCTTAAAATGTTCTGGAGCATTTTTTTTTTGCTTTCTGTGCTATGGTTATACCAAAAGAAATCTTTTTTATTCCAGATATCTTTTTGATGATTGGAAGAGTGATTCTTTTCAAGGGCTGTGATGTTCGTGTTGTGATAAGTTATCTATCTAGGCATTTTTAAAATGAAGTTGTGTGAGATTTGTTGCATTGGACAAAGTTGTATATGTAGTCTGTTTCCTCTTTTGGGAGGTCTGGGTTACTATAACATGAATAATGTGAAGAAACATCCTTTTGTGG